TGTTATTATCAATATAAGTGGATTAATCTACGTACTTTCAGCTACAAATTGAGTGCTTCAGCTGAACGAAAGCAGTCCGTATAACGGTGTGCGACCTGTCTAAAGTGAACTAACCGGGGTACGCATGACGAGATACAGTGTCAACCGTTGCAAATAAAGTGCGATTTTAACAGTATTCTGATGGTTTATTGTTATTGCCACTGACAGGAGATTAATCTACGTTCTTTTAGCTACAAGTTGAGTGCTTGGTCAAGACGAATCAGCCGTTACAGGGTACTCATCTACATTCTTTAAACTTCGAATGTAGTGCATGACGAAGAAAAGTGTTACCTGTTTAGTGGTTATGTACTTGCCGCAGGTTTCGATCGGATTTACACTGCTAAACGAGCATCAGTTTTCCTTGTCATGGATTACATTCGAAGTTTAAAGAACGCAGATTAGTACTCTCTGGCAGGTGGGAACCAGTAATTACAAGAACATTGTTAAAATCTCAATTGTTTGCAGAGGTTGACACTCTATCTCGCGATGCGTACCCCGTTTAGTTCACTTTGGACAAGTCATACAACGTTATCCTGACAACTTTCGTCTTGACCAAGCATTCGATTTGTAGCTTAAAGAACGTAGATTAATCCCCTGTCATTGACAATAACAATAAACGACCAGAACACTGTTAAAATCGCATTTAATCGCGGAATACCACTATTTTTTCGACCGGTGGCGCCACTCGTGGCAATTCGCGCAAACTACTAGCCAAATCATACCGACAGGTGAGTGAAAATTCCTAATGTTGGAAAAGTGCAAATATCTCAGTAAATAGGCGCTTAAAATGAACGCAGTTGGTCTCAAATTACTCCTGATGACTCAGTGCATCGACTCAATACCGCAGAACCCCATAATCGGAAGAATCATTTCTGTCAACACTGAATATGTAACATATTAACACTGGTAGAAATAATTCCTCCAATTATGGGGTTCAGTTGCATTTGGTCGATGCACTGTATTGTGGGGAACAATTTAAGACTGGCAACATTAACTTTGAGCGCATAATTACTGAGATAT